TCCCCAATGTGGGTCACTGAGTTCGGCATGGTCAAGTTGGCCAAAGAGCTGCAACCCTGAAAGGCAGCATCCCCAATGTGGGTCACTGCATCTGGGATGGTCAAGATCAGCAAAGAGCTGCAGTTGGAAAAGGAACCATTCTCAATCTGGGTCACTGAGTTTGCAATCGTCAAGTGCACCAAGGAACTGCAACCCTCAAATGCGCTTTTCCCAATGTGTGTCACTGCATCTGGGATGGTCAAGCTCTTCAAAGAGCTACAAACCGCGAAGGTAAAACTCCCAATGTGGGTCACTGAGTTCGGTATGGTCAAGTTCACCAAAGAGCTGCAACCTCCAAAGGCAGAGTTCCCGATGTGGGTCACTGAGCTTGGGATGGTCAAGCTCGCCAAAAGGATGCAATTCTCAAAGGCACTATCCCCAATGCAGGTCACTGAGTTTGGTATGCTCAAGTTCGCCAAAGAGCTGCAACCCTGAAAAGCTGACTTCCAAATGTATGTGACTGAGTTCGAGATGGTCAGGCTCTTCAAAGAGCTACAGAAGGCAAAGGCAGAACTCCCAATGTTTTGAACTGTGTCCGGAATGGTCACATTCGCCAAAGAGCTACACCCTGCAAAGGCCGAATTCCCAATGTGGGTCACTGAGGCTGGGATGAATAAGCTCGTCAGAGAGGTGCAATTCTGAAAGGCGGACGCCCCAACAAGTCTCACCGAGTGCGAGATCGTCAAGTTGGCCAACCTTTCACAGCCCTGAAAGGCAAACTCCTGAACTTCATGTGCATCCTCTGGAATTTGAACCATGAGCAAAAGTTCCAGGTCGATGTCACTCGGAAGGCCTTCTTTGTTCGAGCAAGTGACGGCGTAGGTCTTGGCCATGGCTGCAAAACCTGTTTGTGTATGTTTGTACCTGTTCGTTATTGCAGGGATAGTGTTGCGGAGTTGGTTTCGGGAATTCCATGAATCACTCGGTATGACAAATGGTGTACCCCATGGAGGTTTTGTCTCTAAACACTCATCGTTGAGGGTATTGAGGATTCAGGAAATGATAATGATCTTCGTGAAATAGCAGGCTTGAATTCAGCATAACTCAAAAAGATGAAGGCAGACAACAGAGCAAAAAAAGGCTTACTCCCGGTATGTTCAACGTGCATTAGGAAGATCCACACAATACCGTGCACCATAATGCACTATAGGTTCTGGATTCTGAGTTTCACAGTATGTCCACTTGCCACCATCCAAGTCGTCGTTGTTCGCTTGCCAGAAACCTATCGATCAACGCACTCTTCCAATGGCTCGTTCCCGCGCCTGTCGCACCATCGCCTCGGGACGGGACGAGTGGGTTCGGGTGCCACGAGTGGGTTCGGAGCCACACCAGTGGGGTTGGTGAAGAGAGGGCCACTGGTGGGGTTGCCGCTAGTTGGTGGGTTTTTGAGGCCTTGAGGGTCTCTGGGTGAGGCTGTGGCTTAGATTTGGGATGATGTGGGGTGACTCTATGGATGTTCTTAGTCCTGGATAGTCATGACCAAACAACTCAGGCCTTTCCCCCGAAACCTGCTGCTGCATGCAGGGAACCGCACATGACATCACAGTGAACAAACCTGTGGAGTGCGAACCTCCAAACAACACAACAATCTATAACAATTCATCAATTTCATGGAAGAGGGCGTTGAAAGGAAGGCCGCTGTTTCCTCCTCCGCAAATTGGGGGGGGTGGTTCCATCCAAACATGAATCCCACCCTCAAAACGGCTTCGGCCAGGAATTCCGTCCGAACCGCTTTGGTTCGTGTTCGTTCGAGCTCGAAATTCGACGGGTGAACAGAAGCAAACATGGGGGATCTCCATATAATTGTACAAACACCTAAGACAATGGAGACACCTAGCAGGACCATCCAATGTGCACCCTCGACCCCGTGCAGGACTGCGATGTCCACTCCGAAGAAGACATCGACTCAGCTCCTGTCGTTGGGTCGGCCGTCTGTAGGGTCTCGTCTGAGTCGTCGTCTCTGACCGTGTTGCTTCGGTGCGTGTTCGGTGCGTCCTCGGATCCTTCACAGCGGTTGGAGGATCCGTGGTTCATGTCGTTTACACCTCCAGTTGCAGATTCACACGAAGGCCGGTGAAGTTTAGGCAGGGCTTTTTAGGACGGACACGAATGCTTCGTCTGTTTGCCTGGGCCAGTAGATAGATCATGATAGATTCCTCATGATTCATCGCAGGCCTGAGCTCCCAAGACGACCGATGAATCGCTGAATCGATGAAGCGACGACCGCAAGGATTTGGGTGACCCGTTTGGTGCACCCACGGTTCGAGCGAACAACGCACTGCCACAGCTTCCCGGAAATTGGGATCCTTTCTGCACAGACAGAAATACGCAGCTGCTCAGAAGATCACCTGCTTTCAAGACACGGAGAATTTCAGCCAAACACATTTCACACACATCTAGAACTTGGGGCAGCCTAACTTCCAAATACCCCCCAAGGCCGTGCAGAAAACCACCATGCAGCCCGGGCGCCACAGCCGTGACGAGGTCGCCCAGGCTGTTGCCCCAGGGCACCACCGTGCTCTCCAGGACGAAGCGCGACCTGGGCTCGGGACGGTTTGTGACCTCCATGAAGCCCACGCAGATCAACGCAGATGAACCCGGAGTAAGCCGTCAGACACCCAGAGGAAGCTGTGAGTGAAACAGTGATTTTTGGTGGGACATTTGGGAGGCTGAACCGCTAGACCTTTGTGGTGACCAGTCACCTATGTCCCTGGACAATGTGTTGGTGTACTTGGTTGAGAGGCTGACAGCTGAGAAGTGAGAAAATCTCAGATATCCACATAAACGGAGCGGACAGCAACCTCCTTTGGCCTCCAAACACCCCATTCTTCATTCCTGGACCTAGCTTAAAGGTTGCACATGGGGGTCCATTGAGTACATATACATGTTTTAAAAAAATCATGGTTTCAACCTTGAGAAGTTCTGATGTGATGTAGACATTGAATAATTCACATTCCGATCATTCTGGGTACAAGCTCGCCATCCCCTGGCCATTCTAGGCCCTCCTAGAACGCTGCGCTGCCAAGCAACACGCCCAGGAATAAGCAAACCGTCTTGAAGCAAACGGTGAGCTCTCTGGCAATCGCTAAGAGCAACAGAACCTCAACGTTGTTGCACCATGCGGGGGAGGGGCCTCGATTGAGACCTTGCAGCAAATGTCGGGGAAAGGATAATGGCCAAGCTTGTATCGATTCAGATGGTCATCCTAGCCAGTGCAGGTTTCCAGTCGCTATGGCAGGTCAACGAAACGCCGCTACTCAAATAGTCATGTTTATTCATGTTTCTTTTTGGACTGTTGCTGGCAGGGTAAAACAACAGCCATGGTTTGTATGTACCTTCCATTGCTTAGCGTGCTGCACGAACGGGCAACATGAACTGCCCAAAACTAGTAGATTTACCCTCTTGCAAACTAACATGGACCATGACAAATGAACCCCTGTAAGTAAGACATAGTTCTCCTCTACCAACCAGTGGTTTTCAGGTCCATGTTAATCAGCAGGAGGTAAAATGTGTCGCATCTGAACAAGAAACAGTCGGTTCCCACGACATTGGGCCCAAGCTGTTCTGTGTTTGTTGGTTGGTGTGACCGGAAATCGAAGCACGCTCTCACTTGTTCCGGGAGTTCCTCAATTTCGAAGCACGGACTCCAGCTGGAGGTGGTTTTTCTTCAGCTGAACAAGCCCCGAGTCACGTCTAGGAATCCAAGCAAAAAAAGGTATCTTTGGACGGCTTCTCGAAAGCTCATTGGCGCTTTGTAGGGTATAAAGACATCTGCCAGTCACGTGTCAAAAATCCCTAATGTCCTTCGGTTCATTCCCACTGTCATCGCCCGCCACAGTCGCGAGGCCCGGGCGGAAGAGACCTTGGCGAGGAGGGTGGTCCTCAGGAGGCCGCAAGAATTCTGGGCGTGGATAGACCGCAAGGGCTCGCCTCTTATGAGGAAAGGGCAGTATACTAAAGCTTCAGTGACAGTGAAGGGGTAAATCGGTAAATCTAAGTTTCATGTAATCTCTTGCCTTCAAGCTAGAAACTGCCAGAGGCCGTCTGGAAAGTAATTAGTTCCCTTGAATGTTTGTTGAGGGGTAAAAGTGGGACCTGCATTGCAAGAAAGGACTTGAAGTTCTCTGTACCAACCCCAGAGTGGCCTTTGGCTGGATGCATGTTCGGGATTGAAATTTTTGCACCCCCCTCGAAAAAAGGAAAAAAAACAAACTACCGGCTTGTGTTGTGGAAGGTTGTGGTACAATCTTGTTGTGAGCCAGAGAGAAAGCTGTTGTTGTGCCAGAGGATGCAGTGCGGCTGCAAATGCAATGTCCGAATGATAATGTTGCCCCGAAGACCAATGAGGGTATGAGCATTGGCAAGAGTTCTCATGACGCAAACTTGTGACTGCTTGTACCCCCACGAAAACAAAATGCCCAAATCTAGCCAAAATGCAGACTTAAAATTAATTTCAGAAATAGGTACGAAATACCGCAAATCTCAGCAACAGTAAGTAAAGGTATAGTAAGTATTTTTGGGGGTGGTTATACATAATGTCCAGCGTTGCAACCCTTATAGTATCAGTTTCACAGCCCACCAGTGTCCAAACCAGAGCATCACCATGCCTCTCCAGTTGCCAACCTGCACCTCCTTGGGGCCAGCTGCCACCTGAACCTCTATTCACGCCCGAGGCGCAAGGGGTAGAGCCTCGGCAGGTGGCCATCCTCACTGCAGAGCAGCAGCACCGTGCTCAATGCGATCGCCAGGACGGCGAAGGCCATGGACCACGAGCTGGTGACCTGACACCGACACCGTGGTGACCGAGATGGAAACCGGGCAAAGTGGCTGAATGGAAACCGGGCAAAAATAGAGGACATCTTCCCCAAAAGGGATCAAACACTTCGGAATCACCGTCCTGAGGGAAAATGGAAAGCCATCACCAGTCCTGCCAAGCAGGAACACCATCCCGGCTCCCCCCCACGGTGTGAGACGTAGGCTGTTGGGTCCCCGCCGGTCTGGAAATCACCGGTCTGTGGCGTTAAAAAGGCATCTAAGTTCTGCATGTCCCAAAAACCTAGCCACAATGACACGGTCATCTCCGACCACATCAGGTGTCCCCAGAAAGGCGTTGTGCCAACCTTCAGTGCACCGCAGAAGATCCCAAAATTGGCCCCACCAGGCGTTCCAGAGAAAAAAAGGCACCTCACCCGGCACCCTTTTCCAAAACCGAAGCACCAGGTCCCTCCGGTCCTCCCTCCGGTCCCTGGGCTTCCCAAACGAACCAGCGGAAACCCGCGCCCTTGGCTTTGACCGCTTCCGGCTTTTTTTGACAGTTTGACAGTCCAACTACTTGGGGGCTGCTCCTTTAAACCACTTAGATCTGTGCTCGCAAGAGCTGTATCAGTTGTGACTGTCCCGTGAAGCTAGCACTTTAGGTGAATACTTAGCGCTTGACTTGATGCAACGCCAAGAATGCTGGGTCAGAGAACTGAGCTGTTTGAACATCACGCGTTAGCACCCTTAAAGGTGAAAAGTAGACCTAAGTGAGTCGGGAACAACATCAAGTACATGAACCACCATAATAATACAAACCAGGGGACCACGGCAACCAATACCAATCAACAGTTTAACTAAAGCAGGTACATTTGCACCTCCCTGGTGCGGGGTTTCTGTTGGCCAGGAGGGAGTCCTGGCCCCCTGCTATACGATATCTGTATAGTGGTGTTAGAGGTCCTTCTAAACAGGACTTAACACACACTCACACAGATATTTATATATATATAGACACGCATATTATTTGCATATTATATCTTGATATGTTTTATAATACGAGTACCAAGGCTATTGTACAATCTCACATGCCTATGATGTCTCCTGCTAGATTCTGCCAGATTCTCACATGGTCGCAAATCTCGGGCACGGTCGACTGTGCTCGAACCGGCTGGAGAAACATGAGGATCGTCTCAGAAACGTCTGTTTGCTTCGTTTGTCGTGTTTCTATCTTAAAACACCTGCAGAATCGACTTCATCTTCCCGCGTTTTCCATGTTTTCAACGACATGACGGTTTCACGTCAGACGGGCACGGTTCTCTCTCAAACTGAGAGGGAGTCTTAAAACACAGACCACACAGCAGAACATAGCAGAACCATAGAATCGATATGGCTGTAGGTCATGAGGGGTACCGACCGGTCTTTCAGAAAATGAACCGATTATGTCAACCTTCCATGGTTTGGCGGGTACCTGCGCTTTTGACCCACGGCCGATCCGTCTCTCCACGTCCAAGCGCCCCCGGCACTGCTCCAGAGAGCGAAGACGAGGAGAGCCACTGGCGAGGCACTCCTCGTCGCGGAGTGTAGGTATGAGGTCCAAACGTTTGGCACGGCCAAGGTCAACACATAGAAAAGCTGCAAATGAGAGGTGGTCTTAATGGCATGCGGTGGTATTTATGGCTTTTATGTATTTGACCGTGCTTTGGAAGGGTTCGGGTGGTGTAAATGACGGGATATGACGGGCAAATCGTCTGCAGCGGTAAACAATCCAACTTTGCAAATCTTAATCCACCAGACTGAGGAAACCTACCAGCACCACCCAGGTCGGGCGGGACCCCCCCTGAAGATGCATTCTCCATCCAATAACCACCCTTTGGGTGGTGGTATAGGCTCTTGAATAAGAAATGATTGCAAGTTGTCCTAGCTAGCAGCAACAAAATCCTGGGAATTTGATGGAATTTGGGATATGTCTCACGCACCAAGCATTCCCACCTATCAACCACCCTTCGCCACCAAGCGAATACGAGAAGAAGCCCACGCTCCCCAAAGCACCGTGCCGCTGCTGCCAATCGCTACCCACCGCAACATCCGCGGTCGGTCGAGTCATCTCTCGGGTCTCCGGACGCGAAGATCCGCCGCGTGCGGTCCCAGTAGAAGTCGCTTGGGGGCACCAGCATCCAGCGGAGCACATAGGTGGGCCTCGAGCGACGAGCTGAGCGACAAGCGGCGAGCTGACTTCGGCCCGTGGCGAAGTGACGAGCGACGAGCCAAGATCCCGGTTCTTGGAGTGAGATGATCGGAGTCTTAAAGAAGTCTAGTAGGTTGGAGACCATATCGCTAGAAGGTTGGAGACAATCCCCAGTAGGTTGGAGGCCATCGCTACTAGGTTGGAGGCCATCGCTAGTGGGTCCCCAGTAGGATGGAGGCCATCGCTACTAGGTTGGATGCCATCCCTAGTAGAGTGGAGGCCATCGCTAGTAGGTTGGAGACCATCCCCAGTAGGTTGGAGGCCATCGCTACTAGGTTGGAGGCCATCGCTAGTAGGGTGGAGACCATATCGCTAGAAGGTTGTAGACCATCCCCAGTAGGTTGGAGGCCATCGCTACTAGGTTGGAGGCCATCGCTAGTAGGTTGAAGGCCATATCGCTATAGTAGGCTTGGAGGCCATCGCCAGTAGGTTGGAGGCCATCGCTACTAGGTTGGAGGCCATCGCTAGTAGGTTGGAGACCATATCGCTAGTAGGTTGGAGACCATCCCCAGTAGGTTGGAGGCCATCGC